CCTACTGACATGGCAAGATGCTCAAATTTTTCTAAGTGAAGAAATTTTGCATAATTTGCATAGCATTCTGAAGAGTAAAATTCCACGTAGTGAATTTTTTTAAAAAAAGACAAAATGATGCTACAACTTTCCCATACCCATTGCTATCGGGTCGATTCCAACTCATAGTGACCCTACAGGACAGAGTAGAACTGTCACATGGGCTTTCCAAGGCTGTCATCTTTACGGGAGCAGACCGCCACATCTTTCTCCTGTGGAGCAGCTGGTGGGTTCGAACCACCAACCTTTCAGTTAGCAGCTGAGCGCTTAACCACTGCTTTACAACTTTCTCACAGGTATGTGTATATATATGTAAATATGTTAAAAAATGATAGACATCAAAGTGAAGACAGTGGAGACCTCGGGAGAGCACTGGAGATGAGGTAATAGCCAAGGGAGACTGCCTTTTCTGTATAGTTTTAAAAGTTTTTTAATTTTGTTTTTAAATTTTTAATTAAAAAAAAAAATTCTGTGAGTTACAGTAAATGGCTAGGGACCCCAAGGGCTACACCCTCAATCAGTATTAACTGAAGACTGCAAAGAAGTATGCCTTGGCACTGAGCAGAGCACAGCAAAATGCAAAAGAAAAATCTCATGCCTGAGATGTGAGGGACATGAGCTGGTCTTCACCCACGATGACATCACTGGCTAATCCAGCAAACCTCCCTCTGTGAACTTAGTTCAAGAGGTTCCCCTGAGTTGTAGTTCTCCCAGGTAGGTGCTTGACAGAAGCAAATGCAAGCTCTCTGAAGGAGAGCCATTCGTCCTAGGCCTCAAAAGAGTCCCACAAATGAAATTTCCAAGGACAATGAACAATATACAGTAAAAAGTAAACGAGGTACCATGAACAAGAACCAGCAGATGCAACCAGCAGCAGTAACAGATTCAGAAAGTCTTCAATTGTCAGATTATTAGAGTCAGACTATAAAACGATTATACTTTCATATAAGAAAATAAAAGACAAGTGTGAAACTTTCTACAGAGGAAAAAGAAATTATGAAAAGTAACCTAGCAGATTTGAAAAAGATCCAAGTAGAAGTTCTGGAAAAGAAAAAGAGGAACCAAAATCAATTCAATGGAGCTGGTGGGAATGCAAAATGGTACACAACCCCTTTGGAAGGAAATCTGGCAGAATTATATATACATTTGCTCTTTGACCTAGGAAACTACTTCTAGGACTCTACCCTAAAGATCCACTGGCAAAAAATAACAAAATAATCTATGCACAAAGGCGTTCATTGCAGCGTTATGCAAAAGATTTAAAGTTTCCCAAAAGATTATTAACAGATTGATGTTTTATCCACATGATGGAGTATTGTGCCACTGTTAAAAAAAAAAAAAAGACATTTTGAAATGGAATGACCACCAGGATTTATTTTTAACTTAAAAAAAAAGCAAGACCCAGAAAAGTGTTTTCACCTTTTGCATAAGAAAGAGGGGAGGGGTATAGATAGAAAGAAAGAAAGATATGGCAAAATCTAATAAAAATAGTTATTTAGGGGCAGAGGAAGGAGTAGGGCGAGAGGTCAGGAAAGGAAACAAGACCGTGCAAAGTAGTTTGTTTTGTAGTTTTGACTTTGGAACCTTATAAATGTTTGCCATCATTAAGTCAGACAGAAAAACAAACTGAAACAAATGAAGTGAACTTGGCATCCAGACTGGTGGTGTGTTGACTACCCAGCTTGGTGTGAACTGTCACCCATCCTCATAGTGCTTCTCCTGCTGGCCCTGTACCTGGTGGCATAGTGGTTAAGAGCTTGGCTGCTAACCAAAAGGTTGGCGGTTCGAATCCACCAGCTGTTCCTTGGAACCCTATGGGGTGGTTCTACTTTGTCCTATAGGGTAGCTGTGAGTTGGAATCAACTCAATGGCAACGGGCTTGGTTTGGTGTTTTCGTTACCCAACATCACTCCCTGCTCCCAGGGTAGCCTGTATCTCGTGACTGATGCAGCTTATGGCAACTCTGAAGAGCCATCCCAGCCTCAGTGCTCCTTAGGGGGTCAGCTGGGGCCTTCATTGAGCCTGCCTCCCAGTCCACAATCTTTCTCTGCTTCCTTCCCTTACTTTCCCTTCCAGTCCACAAGTGGTGATTTCAGGAACCTTCCCTAACAAGGCTCTAGGGTGCTAATCTCCATCTCAGAGTTGGCTTCCCTAGGAACCAAACCTTCCTTCACCAACAGGCCTAGGATGTTCCCCATCCTGGTGAACGCCCAGCCTCTGGTGCTGGATGCTGACGAGAGGCCTTATTAGCCAGCATGGCGGCCTGGGTCAAGCCTCTGCTCTCCAGGCCTGGGAAGGTGTTGGTTATACTATCAAGAAAAAACCTTTCTGGGCTGCCCATTGGTCTCTGTGTCAGGGCATACCTTGAGAACTAATCTCCACCATATAATGCCTTGAAGAAGAAACTGGATTTGTGAATGACTTCATTCTGTTTGGATCATCAGTCAACATCCATGGAAACAGAAGTCAAGAAATCAAATGACATACTGCATCTGGCAAATCTGCTGCAAAAGACCTCTTTAAAGTTTTAAAAAGCAAAGATGTCACTTTGATGACTGAGGTGCTCCCAACCCAAGCCATGGTCCTTTCAGTCCCGTCATATGCATGTGAATGCTGAACAATGACAAAGGAAGACAGAAGAAGAATGGATGCATTTGAATTGTGATGTTGGCAAAGAATACTGAACATACCATCGATGGTCAGAAGAATGAACAAATTAATCTGAAGAAATACAACCAGAATGTTTCTTAGAAGTGAAGATGGCAAGACTTCAACTTAACTCTTGGTGACCCCACATGTTTTAGAGCAGAACTGCGCTTCATAGGGTTTTCAGTGGCCTGCCTTCTACAGTGCTACTGGGTGCATTCAAACCACCAGCCTTTTGGTTAGTAGCTGAGAGCAAACCATTTGCGTCACTCAGAGGATGTGTAAATGCTGGTGAAAGAAACCAGCAGAGGGAGAGGTTAAAGATTCAAGGAGTGAGGGAGTCTTCAAAGTTTTATTCTGGTAATATGTATGTTACAAAACATTTGCCATTTCAACCGTTTTTATGTGTACAATTCAGTGGCATTAGTACATTGTCTTGTTAACGTCACATGCTACACCTTATGTTTAATCATATATACATTTATTGGCCCAGTGGAGATTCTTTACCAACAGAGATTCTTAACTTTACATTGGATGTCAGATCCTTAATCAGACATAGCGCATCTCATCAGTTCAATGCTCATTGGCATGCATATCACCTTCAATGTTATTCCTTAACAAGCAAGCTTCTAGAGAACCAGCAAGCCGCTTGGATAATTTTCTTCTTCTCACTCTGGGCCCATTAACCATTAACTGTCCCTGGCATCTGGCCCTTTGTTCAGGGCCATCTCACCTAAAATCCCCACTCACTCCCCTTGAATAAGACATCTCAATGGACTAATGACTAATCAGCCCACGATGACACCTAACTCTGGTGGCTTTTGCCTTTTGAGTTGTTGGGAAGGCTGTGATTCAGCTATGGCTGTCAACAGCCTCAACATAGGCCAGTGGCTTGTAGCTGGCAACGTCAGGCTCTCTTTGCTGCACTTGTTCCCTGGATGATGTAGATGTGTCCTCTGCCTTCTGGAGCTCCTAGTCCATGGGTGAAGCCACCAGACAGAATGTAGGCTTTTCTGGCAAGGACCAGAGGGAAAGCCCCAAACTCCAATGCCTGGTGGATAGGGCAGGAAGAATCCAAAAATGAGACAAGGGGACCACACGTAGGACAATGATGTGAGCTGAGTTCTGGCCTGGGCAGGGAGACAGAAAGGAGGGGAGGGGCTGTGACTACAGGACAGCTCTGTGCCCCTCCAGCTGGGCATCCCCATACCCTATGCGTAGCTCTTCATCACCAGATCTTGAGAATTTTCAAGAGAACTTGGTTTTTCAAGAGAATTTTAATGTGATCTTTTCAGATGAGAGCCGCCTAGCCTATGAGGCCAGGAAAGCCGAGTGATGGGATAAGAAGAGATGGTCAGGGAGACCTCAATGGGGAGGGGCACCTGACACGGGCAGGGGGCAGCCCGGCAGGTCCGGAAAGAGAAGCCAGGGAGGCCCTGCTGGGAGCTGCTGGGGAACGGGGCCTGGCCACGTGGGGCCTGCGGGTGCCCGAGGGGGACGGTTTTAGCTCTGCAGGGTTCACAAGGTGGCTCGGGTGGACCCCGTCTTGTCCTCTCAGCCCGCAGACCCTGCCTGTGGGCGCCACCGCAGGGATCCGGGAGGAGGGGTCCAGTGGATGCGTGTGGAGGAGCCCATTAATGAGGCCACTGGGCCCCAGGATGGGCCGTCCTCATTGTCGTCTAATTGAGTGTTAATTAACCACAACTTGAACCTGAGCCAGGAGCACCCTCAGGCTGGGCCTGCTCTTCAGTGGTAGCAGGGACCCGGCTGGGGAGGCCCTGTCTCTCTTTCTCCTCTCCCCTCGTCCCCACACCCATCAGCGACAGTCAGCAACCCCGGCGGCCGCGCGCACACGGATGCTGCCTGGCTCCTGACGCCTGCGGGGCACCCGGGCGCCCGGGCCGCGAAGGGTTAAGCCCACCGAGCTCGCGGCGGCCTAGAG